TACGATTTTTCACAAAGTTCTTTGCCTGTTCTGAGAAAATATCGAACAGTTGAATCTAAACAAATGGCGATAAAGTTGTAGAGGTGATGAAGAAGGCTGCTAAGGTTCGTGGCTTAAAATTTCTAATATTGAACTTGGAGATTTCTAATGTATCTTTTGTGCTGTAACTGAAACTGGTGAAAGTCTGAGACTGCATGAACTGAAAGGAGCGTCTTTCTTACCTTCACATCTTTCGTTTTCCCTCTCATCAGAAAATTCTTGTGTTATTTTCTTGAATTTGATCACAGTACATCTCCCCTTCCCCCAAAATATTCATGTATCTTTTGGTGATTGTTGCCAACGCCGTTCTGTAAGTGTGGGTAATAGCTATTGTACTCTAAAACATAACTGTAATTTTTTTCATTGCAGATTGCAACGCAGTGCCTTGAACCAATCGTTCAGCAACAGCTTTTCGTTCAAATAATTAACACCACTTTTGTACTACTACGAGGACAATTGTCTTGAGGTGAGGGCCTAGCAAGTCTATCAACGCTATTTGTCATTGATTTATAAGTTCTTCAATAATTTAATTAACGAACGTGGAGTCTTGTACAATTTTTTGACATTCATAAGTATCGTCGTTTAGCTTAACATCTATGATGTGGACGACTTAGTGGCTTTTTTAATAGCGGACTTGTTAAGGTTACTGAGGATATGCTAGTGGAGTTGATATCTCGCACAAAGGAAAATGCCGTGCAGCTCGACGTAAGCGCCGAAGCTGACGCGCTAGAAAAGCACCTGGCTATGACGTTGCAGCATATCAAAAGATCGAAGGAAAAGCGTCCGGGATTAGCAGAGCGGCTTCAGTTATAGTTTGTTGCTTTTCTTTTGATTCAAGTATAGCCTCATAAGGTTGCTCTTTAAATTCGCTGCACCTTTCCGTTTGTTTGATTTCTCATCCCACGAGCATTTAGTTTATTTCGTTCATTTAGTCTTGCCAGTTTTCTCCTTTGCTTAAGGATTCTTCCTTAAGTTTTTTTTTGAGTCTTGTTTCTTGGTTTTCTGAATACTCTCTGTGTTCTTTTCACTTCGGTCGTTTTCTTTTCTTTTATGTAGGGGGAAGCAAATCTGCTCCTGGCCGATATTCTTCTAAGCGCACGATTCCGCCGTTGCGTTTCATATTTGTATCCTATTCCAGCGCAAAAACAATTTGTGCGACATTCAGTGCACGTAGAAGTGATAGTCCTTTGCTCATTCGGTGATATATTGGTTGGTGTTGATTGTTATCCAGTTGTGATCGAAAGCTATGCTGCAACTACACTCTTTTTTGAAGCATTATTTCACCACTTTGGAAGGGGTGTTGGGAAGATGAAGCATATCCACTTTCAAG